AAAAAAAAATGGTCACAACTGTGGCGGTCGTAAAGTCCCGACAGTACGAAAGTCGAAGCGGTCGTAAGTCGGCAGTCGTAAGTCCGAAGCAGTAAATGAAGTCCCGGCGCGATTAAATGAAAGTCCGAAGCCAGTCGTAAGTCAGCGGTCGTAAGTCGAAGGCAATCGTAAGTCCCGCCCAGTCGTAAGTCGGCAGTCGTAAGTCAGCCAGTCGTAGAAATTAAAGCAGATCGTAAGTCCCGGCGGTAAGTCAAAGTAGCGAAGCAGAACGTAAGTCGGCAATTAAGTAAATCCGAAGCAGTCGTAAGTCCCAGAATTAAATGGTCGAAGCAGTCTAACGGCAATAAGTAAGAAATCAGTCTAGCTGTATATACAGTGATCCCTCGGTTATGAAACGCCTCGGTTTCTGAGAAATTTCGGTTAACGAAATTTCAGTTAACGAACTGCCTTCTATAAGAATCTTCAATTCGGTTAACAATTTCTACGAACCGACACTCAACATGTTTCGCTTGCACTGGCGGGCAACCAGCTTTAGTATCAGTCCGCCAATACATTAATCGGTTCTAGGGCTTAAATTCTACTATTTTAGTAAATATCAAGAAGTTTATACTATTCAATAATTTAAAGTTTAATATTCAATTTTTAGTATTTTAACAATTATTGAACATAATTGAAGGTAAAGTGACTAGTTTAATGCGGCATCCAGCCTTCTAACACAGCAAACAGGCGTTAGTCTCTGTTTTCACTGGAGGTAACATCTTGCTTGAGACTCTCTTCAACTAAATGCTTTTTTCTGTGTTTCCAAGCAAATTGTTGGTCATTTTGAAATATATTTCACATACTGTATTGACAATATATAATGCAGTGCAGTGTTGATTTAAAGAAAATAATCTTGAAATACACCAAGAACTAAAATTTTATGGTGAAATGGTGCCATGGGGTGACTTCTCTTCCACCCCAATGCCTTCTTTTCTTCCTTCTCCTCCAACCCCATTCTAATTCCCATCATCATCATCATCCAGGCTTCTACATACTGTACACACCAAAGTTAGTGAACTTTTCTACCATTTTTGTTGAATTTAGGAAATTTTCGGTGAGTTGGAACCATTACCCAAAAACCCATTGAAACAATGGTTTCGTTATTAACTCTTTTTCGGTTAACTAACAACCTGCTGAATGGATGAGTTCAAGTAACCGAGGACCACTGTATGTATGTATGTATGTATGTATGTATGTATTGTGTATATATATATATATATATATATATATATATATATATATATATATATATATATATATATATATATATATATATATATATATATATATATATATATATATATATATATATCTGAAAAATCACACGGAAAATGGAAACAACGGAGTACCTTAGCTCGCCTTTATTCAAGACATCTTCAGAGGCAACTGGATTACATGGACAGAGAGGCTTAAATATACAGGGTGACCTAAAACATGAGGTCATAATGACGACATCCACTAATCTCACACCAACACACACGAGAGGAGCTTTAAGAGAAGGGTGGTGACGGACTAGCCAGGTCAGGTCAGAAAAAGGACCCACAAAATAACTATCATACATCTAGATCAAAGGTTTTCAAAGCATTTTTAACCTTGGGCCACTGACAAAAATTTATAAACATATTATCAGTTTTGAACTGACCATCACTAAGGTTTATTGATTTTAATTCTTAATCAAACTAGCTTCAACCAGAAGTCTTTCTGTGACACAAGATGATTTGAATACTTCTAAGCTTTTTTCCCAAGCAATGGGTGATTATTATTCCTAACATGAACGAACAAGGCACTGCTTTCAGATGCAGTTCTGATATTATACTTATGTTGTTTGATTCTGAGCTGCAGTGTTTTTCCTGTCTGCCCTACATAATTACAATTACATTTGCTACATGGAATACAATAAACACTTCCATTTACATTCAAACTTGGGCTATTCTTATTAACATATTGGTAATGGTTGAGTCATACTTGAAAAAACAACATTAATATTAGCTTGAGGACCGAACTAACGGGACAGATTCATTACGATAGGGCAGAGTCAAAATATTCTTAAGTGTAGGAACTTGTCTGGTTTGAGAGGAATGAAAGGATTTTTAGCCCTTTAAAACAACGATCAACAAACACAGAAGGGTACCCAAGTTTCTGTGCAATAGAACGAATGTGTTCAATTCATCACAATAAATTCAGTCACAAATACGAACATTCTAAGAACATAGCAGAAAACTGACATTTTGGTAGACTCAAGGTGATTCAAAAAGTGAATGAAACTGTACCTGTGTGGGCTTTCTATATACGTACCTTAAATTTATAGTTTGGCCATTTCATGATAAGCATATCAAGAAATGGAAGGATTCATTTATTTCTTCTTCAATTTTGAATGTGATACTAGGGACAATATTATTAAGCTTGTCTAAAAATTCCAATGGGTCACTGTTTTAGGCCAAAGACAAAGAACATCATCTACATAACTATGGAGGAATAAAGTCCACTATATTGGGTAGTAATCTAGACTCAAAACTCCATATAAATACAGCTAGAGGAGCAGAAAGACACCACCCATGCTCATGCCAAATATTTGCTTGTAGAACTTCCCATTTGCTTCCAAACACATTGTCATTACGCATAACTATCAATTTCAGGAGTATAGTCTCAATAGTTAAATCTAGCAGTTGTAATTTATCTTTAAGAAATGAAAGTAAGTCTTTCAAGAAACTCTAGTGAACAGTAAATTTACATCAAAACTTATTGCATATTAGGTTAGTTGTGTTTCTTGAGTTTATCAATTAAATCACTGCTATTCAGATATGTGAATTAGATATTTGGCCTGTAAGAGGATATCATCTTTACCAGCCACTTGGATAATTTGTAAGTAACAGAACCCACAGAACTCACGATAGGGCGTAATATCAGAACTGCATCTGAAAGCAGTGCCTTGTTAGTTCATGTTAGGAATAATAATCAAATATTGGTGGCTTAGAAATATTCAATCATTGTGTCTAAAGACTTCTGGTTGAAGCTAGTTTGATTAAGAATTAAAATCAATAAACCTTAGTGGTCATGTCAAAAACTAATAATATAGTTACATAATTTATTTGTCAGGGTAAAAATGCTTTGAAAACTGATCTAGAAGAAGTTATTTGTGTCCCTTATTTTCGACCTGACCTGACTAGTCACCACCACCCTTTCTTAAGCTCCTCACGTGTGCTGGAAATATGTCACATTGACTGACTGTTTTGAGTCACCTGTATATTTAAGCCTCTCTGTCTGTAATCCAGTTGCTCTCTGAAGATGTCTTGAATAAAGACTAAAGCTACAATCGCTGTTTCCATTTTTCCGCAGATTTTATCAAGATTTATCTTATCTACGCTTTTCATTTGGATTTAAATGAATATATATATATATATATATATATATATATATATATATATATATATATATATATATATATATATATATATATATATATATATATATATATATATATATATATATATATATATATATGGTGTAATCTTATCCCAAATCCTTAAAGAGGCATTGATTTCATGAATTTCTTCGGTTTTCAGTTTTTTGTATTAGCCCACCTGGGCATAGATCACTGACCCACATCAGGCCTGGGGGCAAAAATATAATAATTATAATAATAATAATAATAATTCATAGGTCTAGGTGGTGTTTCTCACTTTTGATCTTTTTTTCATTCTTGTATTTCTTTATTATTATTATTATTATTATTATTATTATTATTATTATTATTATTAATTAATTTTTACAGTACTCCTGTAATATTTATTATTTTATTATTTATTATTATATTTTATTATTATTATTATTATTATTATTAATGTTATCATATTATTTTATTTTGGTGTACAGTATTTTTATTAAAATTCTTATTTACTATGAATAATTATTATTATTATTATAATCATTATTTCTATTACATTTTCGCCCCCAGGCCCTGATGTGGGTCAATGATCTATGCCCCGGCTGCTCCCTGAAAAAAAAAAAAAGACCCGCAAAAAAACTTTCGGTTTTCAGAATTTTGGATAAAGGGTTGTCAACCTGTATACTGTATATATAAGCTCCTCCTGTCTTGACCTACTCAATTCGACCACCGGACATCGACCGCCTTAGTTGTATAAAATTTTGTCAAATTAAGTATTTTTCGGCCCAATTACAGTGATTGTGCTGTGTACTAACAAAATTTTTCTGATATTCACTTTAAAATGGCTGGCAAGCTTAAAAGTGAGAGTTTTTGGTGCTGAGAAGAAAGAGACCCATTTTAGATTTTCTATGTATTATTTTAGCCTTTTAGGCTTGCTACCAGGTCAAATGGGGAGACAGACTTGATAAATAAGTCAGGAGAGACTGTATTTGTATATCAAATAATATTACATATGAGAAAAAAAATGGGATTTGGTTCCCAATGACATGAAAACCTCAATATTATACCTAGAAAAATGAAATAGGTTCACAAGACGAGCAACAAAAACTTACCTAACTACTGTAAAGTAGTACTTCCCTACTGCAATTTAGTAACTATCAACAAGAAAACCCCCATTGTTACACCCAATACAAATTAATTGTTCAAAACAACATAAAACCTACCTAACTACTGCAAATTAGTACCTAATTACTGTAATTTAGCACCTAGCACATTAAGAAATTAAGGAAATATAAATGTGTACATTACCTTAATTAAAGGGACCATAGCTTTTGCATATTTGAGAAAGGGGTGTAAGACTTAAATACAGTACAGTACTGTATTTGTATTAGTGAATATTTGTAGAGTGAAAGTTCATGTAGCAAGGATACCTGTATATTTATTAACAAATTTCTACTGACTTTACCATAATCAATACAGTACATGTCTTCCTGATCCTTTGCCCAAGAAATTATCTTGGGCTCCTTTAAGCTTTCTTATGGTACTCATTTTTACAACAGTAAATGCACTTACTTACCTGACCATCTACACCATCAATCAAAGTATGAGCTCCTTTCATTTTTTTAATATCACATGTGGATTCAGCATTCAGTAATCCTTTTTGCTTTTTACGCATCATATCATATATAGCCTTGGTCTTGAGTGACTCCTCCAGTGCTGCACTAACAGCAGCCTTTTCATCATCAAGGAAGGTGAGCCCTTTCCTTGCTACACCACCTGTGAAGATAAATCTAATGTGATCAGCAAATCAAAACATTTTATCAACAGTCATGATGACAGAACCTAATATCAATGTTAGACTTTTTATCTACCTATGATTATATGACAAATGTTTCCTTTTTCACTTTTGCCCCATTCCCACCATGCTGCCAGGAATCCAGAATCACTCGCCACCATCTATTCTACACTACTGCTGAAGTAAGTTTGTATTGTATTATTTCTTTTTCTTTCTATCTTATTAATTATATATTAATGTACTCACGCGCCATAGTTTCGTACACCCTCTACCCGACTCGATGAAGGTCGTAGCCTTGGCTTCATACTGAACGCCCCCTCCACCCATCATTCAGTGGTGCTATGTGGTAGCTCAAAGCTTCGCTGGATTGTACAAATAGCCTGTCATGATGTGATATTTGAGAAAATGATACACGATACAGATTTTTTAGTGACTTCATCAACACTTTATTTACCATCACTATACAAGAGGGACCGTTCAGTTTGCAGCCCTGACTACGATTTCCCTCGAGCCAGGAGTAGGGGTAGAGGGTGCACAAACTATGGTGCACGAGTGTACAATCAAAGACAAAATTCGTGTCACCGTTTTGTCCCAAGATTAAATATAAATCGTGAAACAAATAAGAACACCCTACCACAAGGCAGAGTGCACCAAAAGTTTAGCCCTATATGTTTTCACCAAGTTTCACGACACGACTTTTGTCTTTCAATGTACATACATGTAAGAGGTATTTTTTCTTTGATATATATATAATTTTATTGTTTCTATTTCTTTTGTTATTATATAACTTCTATATCACCTTCTTTAATTTGTGTTTATGTTTTATATATATATATTTTTTTTTAAATGTAGGAAGGCAGATTTTCTTTTATGACAAGTTAGTTAATTATTTTTTGTTGATTGTCTGAACTAAACTACCTACCAGTCTACCATGTAAGTATACTTATACCAAGAGATGTTAAACAATGATATGGTTTTCCCAGGTTAATCCAATGAATAGATTATAACTAAGCACTGATAAATATAGAAAAGTAATAGGACAACACAAGAAAAATAATGACATTGAAATAAATAAATAATAAGTAAGATATGTAAAATACTGTACAGATGATAAAGTAATATTCATACTGAAATAAAGACTTAGAAAAATATATTAACTTAGGAAACATAAAAAAGAAATTAAAGAAAGTGACATAAAAGTTGCCATATAACAGAAAAGAAGAGAGAAACATAAAATATAAAAGTATATATAAAATAAAAATATCTCCTCTTACATATATGTACAGTATGTACTAAATAATACAGTACACATATTATTAAATAGATTATGAAAAAAAGAAAGAAAAACTAACTGCAACATCCCCAACTTGGTGTCATGATCTCTCATCATTCATGTGCTTTGCTGCTTCCTGGAGGTCTATCTCTATCATTTCAAATACTGTACTGTACTTCCTTCACCCTGTTCTGTTAGCAAGAATCTTCGATCCTCGGAACTCTCCGATAGCCAGATTATTTTTTTTTAGTATTACCAAAAATTACTCTCCATTCTAGGCATGGGAATAAATTTCTGAGAAATTGTATCACGTTTCTGACGCATGTCGGGCATGTGGATGGGTAGGCTCAGTGTGCTCGTGAGCTACAATTGGCCACTACTACACGACTGCATGGGATACCTATGATTGGCCGATGTATCTCGCACCCTATCTCCTCTAACTCTTGCATCATGACACTCTTAGTTCATTGTCTACTGTCAGCGTACAAGCTTGTTTGCTTGCTCACTGTCATTTGCATATATGATATACAGTACAGTATATTACAGTATATATAAGCAGCCAAAACTACTGCTGATAGAAAACATCAGGAGGCACCACAATATCACCCCGTGGTGCAATCTCCTTGCACTTTTTATGTTTTTTCACCCCCCCAGCAATGCGAGGCATGGTTCAAAACTCTCCCAACACTTTTATGAATAAATGAAATCACTGTGATGAACAAGAATTCAGCACAAGTTTGAGAAAATGTGAGTCAAGGTTATGTCCTGTGTCATTGAAACACAAAGGGAGACTGGTGTGGTAACTTAACCTTGTAGGACAGTCTACTTAGTAGCCAGATCGTGCTGACACTGCCAAATGTACATTTTGTGTATGTAGCTTTCAAATGCAAACAAAATTGTTTTATTGTAATTTTACTTCATACGCAAATTTGCATATGAAAACCCTAGAGCGATAATTTATATCATACGCAATTTCGTGCGTGAAAACCCCATGAGTGTTAAGAAATTTATATTTCTAAAAATTTCCACTATATGAAGTTCTCAATTAAAAGTCCATTTTACATACTGTACTGTACTTTCTTTAATCATGATGAACCACAAATTAATGTGCATTACAGTGTACTGTATTATACTGTAGTCAACTCTGTAACTTTCATACTTGCTTGTCCCCAATGGCATCTAGCATGAATATAACAAAGAGAATGAGGACATCACTGAAAAACAATAATACAGAACTGTGCAGAGAATGTATCTGAGGATATTGTACATCTCTTTGTTACCTTCAAAGTAATACCAGTACATTACTCAAAATCTTCAAGTTACCCATGGGTTCATTTGCAGGCATAACTAAATTAAAAGAAGACCAGCTCTCCAAGCAACTGGAACAGCATTGTACATAACTGCCTTCCAAGAAAGAGTCCAGCATATGAAGATATGCTTAAAATTCATTTATTCCTAAGCCTACAGAGAAGATTCATTATTTCAAAATAATTCCAAGGCTATCATGAACATTCACTGATCAAACATTTCTGTTTTCTTACCTCAAGTTATGCCAAGTACCTGTGTGGTGGCTGCTAAATTAACTCCAAATTATACTTAGAAGCAAGTTATTTATCAAAACTTATCTAAATCCTAGAACTAAAGATCAGTAATAATACTGGAACTGAGGAACTCCTACATAATCAAGATAGCAACGTCAGCGAGACAGAACTGGCGGAATAAAAAGTAAGATTTGTATTTACTGTAATGATTCCACCTATATCCTTCAGAAAGAAATTCATTGCTTTTAAATTAAAGGTTCCAGCTAGGTGTTGGAGAAAAATTACTTATGAGGTAGGCAGCCAACCTGCTATAATCAAATACTATGTGGTGAACATTGAGGATGTAGGTAAGCATACTATACCAGGCACTACAAACCTGGACTACCTACTTTCAGTACATGATTAATGACCAATGACCTTGGTTGAAGCAAAGAAAAGCATAAAAACAAAAAAAACAAGCCCTTCATATAGCTGCTGGCCAGAAATGTCTTATAATTGAATACAGTACAATATACTGTAAACAACAAATACATATATAACTTACCTGTAAATAGTGCTACATCTGTCTTCTTTTGGAAGATACTTTCAGATATTTTTGTTTGTTTATAATTCTTCTGTACTTCAGGTGGGTCTATACTCATCTTGTAAGAAGACCTCTTACTCTGCTTGTCTACACTTTGGTGTCTCCTTAAACTGAAAGGTTTTATTGATGGGAGAGGCATATTATAACTTGATATGGACTTCTGAAATTCTTTTCTTCCTTTTGAGGTAGATTGACCTTGATTTTCAATCTTATTCAGAGCTGCTGGTAAAGATGGAAAATAATTTTCTTTAGTATTGCATCTAATGGCTTTAGTCTTAACAGGTGGCAAAAGTGAAGGTGAAGTATTGTCAGAATCATTAAACGAGGTTGATAAGCTGTGGGTGAATACTCGGGGAGAGAACTTTGGCGTGGAAGTGACTTTTGTAACTTTGGATTCTGGGGTGTTGATTTCCACTGGTTTATGTGACTCTTTATTAAACTCTTCAAAGTCCAGTGCTTTTGGAAAATCCATTCTAATGCTTTGCTTCAATGATTTGGAGGTTGCTTGTCGAGTTTTCTTCCCTAACACAGGACTTCGTTGGTTCAAGGAGTCAGCCATTCCTGTATGATTTCTTGAAGGACTTCTCAATTCTCCTTCAATACCAACACGTGAATCAAGAACTGGATTACTTTTCTCATTAGATACCACCTCACATTCATTATCGATGGATCTTGTATTCTCAATAGCAAGAGTCTCTGGGACACTCACAATATTTGTTTCAAAAGTTCTTTTCTGTGATGAACTTACATGAAACTCATTTTCATCCAGAGACAATGTTTCAGGAGCAAGAATTTTAGGGATATTTTGCTCTTCAGTCTCGGATTTTATTATACTTTCTTCATTTTCTTCATCCTCTTGGCCAATGTTTGGACTGTTTCCTTTTGGGTATCTGGATAAACATCGATATTTTATATTTTTTATTTTGGAATAATTCAATCCCATTGGGTCTTTCAACTGTGGAGCAATATGGCCTTCTTCACTGGCAATATCATCTCCCTCTACCAGTATCAGTTTTTTACTTGTTTCCATTTCCATACAATTCTCTGGAAAACTTAAATTAGGTACCTCTTTTTGATGTTTTAGCCCATTACAATTCATATCAGCATTTTTTCTAGTCTCGCAGTGTGCATCAAATTTTGTCATCATTCCACACGACTTGCATGTCCTAATATTTTCCATCAACTGGTTCAGATTCTTATTAGCTTCATCACGTTCATGCTTGATTTCTATAAAAAATTAAACACATTTGAGAGTATAATAATGCCAAATCAAATCCTTATTAAACAAGCTCTTTCCTCTACTCAAAGCACTGAGCTACTTGCAGAGTAAATACAAGTACAGCACAACACAGAAGTCTCATTTTATCCTCACTAATACAGTAGAGTACTCTGCAACACCCATGATAGCCTGCCATATGTAAAGATACAACAGTACTGTATTTATTTAACAAATATTCAGATGAAGGTATTGTATTACATATCAGAAATTTTATGCCATAATTTCCATATGCAAGTTTCTAAACTTAAAAAATAGAATGTTACATTCAAAACAGTCCCACTAGAGATGGCCCAGTTATCCCACTAAGCCATCCACATCTGAGTCCTATTTTCATGTCTATTTACCTGTACAGTAGTTGCATTTAATCAGCAATGCTCTGAAGATGAACACACCATGTAAAATTACTGTTACAGTACAGTACTTCAAAATTTAAAGACTAAAATTTAAATCTGAAGTCAAAGTTTATCACCAGCCACTGATCAAATCACTAGGGCATATTTGGTTTTGAGTGTGCTGTAGTACAATTAGTGTTTACAAATTAAAACATCATACCCTGTATTTACAATGTACAGACTAACATTGTACTGTACAGTATGTAGAACACCAGACCCATAAGGATGAAGTGAGACTATGGCATCATGTACAGTCAGGGAATGTTCCGCATAAGACACCCAGCTGCAAGTTTGAACCTCTGAATGCAAGACCTGTGGTAGCAAAACAATAGCTAGACACTCACCTATCTGGTAACTGTGCTATACTGTCATACTATATAATTATACTCATAACACAGTTAAATTATAACATATAATTTACTATACAGTGCTAACTCCATTAATTTCATCTATCTTTACTGTACTGAGGCAATACACATCGAGTGCATACACCACACACCTCCAGCAAGTTTCATAGCCTATCTCCTAACATTCCTCCTCCACCTCCAGTCCCCCTGCCTCTCACACACAGCTTGAACTTGTGACTAGGTGTCTCACATGGACAGTGGTGGGCACGGTTCCGCTAATTAACGAAGCTAACTTTCTTGTTAGCGGATCAGCGTTTTCGCTAACTTTGGAAACCATTAGCGGACCAATTAGCTTCCGCTAAATTTAGTTCCGCTAACAAAATTTATACATGTTTGTTCCTGTCTGTTGTAAGCGTGTGACGCTGCGACGAGTGTCTCCAACAGCCAGTCAGGCACGCTTGGCTGACTGCGTGTTAGTACATAAGTATGTGCAACGATATCTTGAGGGCCAAGAGAGCCACCCTGTCAGATGGCAACTTTGAGAGGCTGATGTTTACGAAGGGGAACCAGCATCACGTCAAGGCGATGGAGAAGGCCAAGCCACTGCCGCCGGAGTGAATGGAATTTTTCGATTATTAAAGTTTCATACTTTTTTTTACAGTAAATAAAGACTGTCAGTGTATGTTGAAAGAATCATAGAATGTAATTGTAAAGTAAGGTATAATTTCATTTCTCATTTATTTGTTAATTTAATTAGGATTTTTTTGTGACAATATATTTGGTTATGCTAAGTACTGCATATGTCATCCAAGGTGTGCGCCAAACAAAATTTTCTAAAAACTGACTTTTCATTAAAGTTTAGAGTTTTCTGTTTATTTACATGACTAAGACCAGCAATAAGTTACTGTATATAAAAATGCACTGGTATAATGTGTATGTGGTTGGTATTGCATATTTACATGAATAATGAATAAGGCCGATAGGTTGTATGAGAATGCAAATTAATTACGCTGTATTTGTGAAATTGTGTACAGTGTACACCTTGATAAGTTGATCATCATCTGATCTTGGCATGATGCTATTTGCTACCTATGCTATACAGTACTATAGTTTTTGGATTCGTTTAATACTTTCTGTCTTTTCGTACAGTAAATATAGATTATAAAGTGTATGTTGAAACTTGAATGTAAACTAATGTTTGATTTCATTTGTTCATTTAATTATTTGTGTACACCTTGATCATCATCTGATCTTGGCATGCTATACCTTTTGGGAAAGCTCTATGTCTAAGCTACAAGACAACATATGAAAATTTCAGCTCTCTAGGTCTGTTTTTAAGGGTTTTAGAGAAAAAAAAACCAAAAAACCTAAATTCATATAATAAAAGTTAGCGGTTAGCGTTAGCTTCCGCTAATTTTTTAGTTAGCGGATTAGTGGTTAGCGAAGCTAACTTTTCGTTTAGCTGTGCCCACCACTGTACATGGAACATTTGCCAACTGTACAGGTTCGATGCCATCCTGGTGCACTTTGGCCCAAAAGTGGAATAAACTACCGGTATGTAATCTGTGAAATTACCACATTCACTGTTTGGAAACTTCTACTGTATATAATATTAATTCTTGAATACATTTATCAAGAACTATAAATGTGGCTTGTTTTCTTTGTACAGTACTGTAATGTATTCTAATATGTATCTAATTCTGTGATTTAGTTCCATATGTTTTCAGCCAGACTGTGTGGTCTAAAGCAGATAGTGGCTTATTGTAGAATTTCATTTGTTGGCTGCATATTCAGATTACCATACACAGAAGTGCAAAACTGTTCCATGTTGCCAGCCAAATTTTATAACCGGAGACTCTATTACCTGTTAGAAGCTAATGGGTGAAGTTTTTTTTTTAGCATAATTAATGCTTTTCTTTTAAGAGATAAAAGAGATAATATATTTGTTTGGGCTGCAAAAGTGTAGGATATTAGTCTACGAGCAGGCTGAGTAACATCACGGGAGTGAGATTTGATGCCAACTCACTAGTCCCTGTGATGACACTCACCATGCATTAATATCTTACACTTACAGCTTAAGAGAATAAAAAATGGCGAGAAGGGTGTATGTGTGTGTGTGTGTATATGTGTTTCCCAAACACAAAATTTTTTGGAATTTTTTCCATTTCGGGCAGTGCTTGTGGAGACAAACACAGGGCTTAGGACTACAGACTTGGTATAATGACCCAAGAAATGCACTCGTCAAGTTCGTTCAAGTTTTAGCATTTGTGCCAGTCAGTGACATTGCTGAAAGCTTCAATGAATTTGTCTCAGCACTAGATGATGAAACTTATGAACTTCTATCCGAGTTTCTTGGCTACTTTGAAGCGACATGGATTGGTGTTGTACAGCATGGAAGACGACGAAGACCAACATTCGAACTCGGGCTGTGGAACATATTGGAGAGAAACACACAAGGCCTTCCACGGACAACAAACTCTCTTGAAGGAAGGCACAGGGGGTTTGAGCAGAGAATGGCAATCACCCGCCCCACCGTTTGCCGTCGCGTTTCAAAACTAAGTAAAGAGCAGTCGGACTGGGAGTTGACAATTGAGCAGGCAGCAGCAGGAATGGTATTGAGGAAACCGAAGAAGTACCAGATATTAAACACAAGACTGAAGTCTGTCATTGAGAAATATGAGGCGTATCCCAGAATCGACTTCTTGAGAGCAATTGCCCACAATCTTTAAATATTTATAAACATTTCGTTTTATACAGCAATTTTTATAAAGCAATTACATTACAATCAATATCTTGTATCCTTCAATAAATGTGCAAAAAAAATTGTATATCATGCAAATGTATCACATTGAAATTATGTTATCTTTTTATCCTTTGTTTTATAAAGCAAATACATTGCAAAGAAGCAATTACATTACAATAAATATCTTTTAACCTTTAGTAAATGTGCAAAAAATACATTGCAAAGAAGAAAAAAAATAAAATAAAAAGGCCACATGTCCATTCGGCCAAATGTCCATTCGGCCAAATGTCCATTCGACCATTTGGCCGTTTGGTCTATTGTCCGTTCGGCCATTTGTCCGTTCGGTCTATTTTCCGTTCGGCCAAATGTCCGTCGGCTCGATGTCCATTCGGTCAAATGTCAGTCGGTGAAACGTCCGTCGGCCAAATGTCCTTCGGCCATCTGTCCGGGAGCCTCTAAATATCACACCGAAATTTCAGAATATTACAATCGACCCCCCTAAAAAAAGACAGCACTGTCCTCATGCGCTGAGAGAAAAAAAGTATGCATACGACCCCCCTAGAAAAGACTTGTTCTAATAACTGCATCTCACACCTGCAACATGCTAAACGCAGCATTTCCGTCCTCCAATTTCCAGCTTCCCTTGTCTCTCCCGCCGACACTCGATCCCCCTAGAAAAAGACAACACTGTCCTCATGAGCTGAGAGAACAACTTACAGCCACCTTCAAATTTGCACGATTCCAACTCGCAGCCAGCAACTCCACTTATTGCCTAGTCCTTGAACTAGAGAACTTGTCAACAAATTAAAACCAACCAAAACCAAACACTCTCCCCTTTTGCCTGGCCCTTGAACTAGAGAACCAATGTCAAAAATAATACCAAATCCAAAACAAACATGCTCCCCTTTTGCCTGGCCCTTGAACTAGAGAACCAATGTCAAAAATAATACCAAATCCAAATCGAAAATGGGTATCTATTGTAACTTACCGTTATTGTCGAAAACGTTATTGTGGAAGTCGTTATTGGCGAGAGCCTACTGTATGTATATATATATACATATAAGCTGAATTATGAGTAACTTTTATATACACTACTTGTGTTTAGAAGTCATAAATGTAAAAACTGTAGTGTGTATACACAAACAAATCATGTGACACCATACATATTTGGATACATTGTGGTAGCCTTAACTTAAACAATTGCATTATAAAGAGGTTCCTTAGTACTTCTTTCAAAATTACATCTTACCCATTACTAAAATGAAAAGAGTTCGAGTCAACAGCTGCAGTGCCCGTTCTTCTTCATCTTCTATGGACATTACAGACTTTAACTGATCCTGCATACCGCTGTCATTAATGATAGAGGACCAAAACTTCGTAAAATGTGCAGTTCCCATTTTGTTTTTACAGATGATTCTGAAAACAATAAAATTTAAGTTAAAAAACATATTCATCATGTGGTTTGTTAGATGTCTGATCATACAGGTTTTGATCTTTAGTACTGTACAGTACAGTATTGTGAATAAGAATTCAAGAAGTAAATTCTTTTTAAGAACTGTTATATTCTAAAATAAAGTGTTTTTTCCAAGCAAATACATATACTGTATACCTGTAGTCCTGTACTGTACTATACTGTGCTGTGGCATGAGGAAGAATTTTGGTTGTTGATTTATTTTCTAGAAATGCTGTGATCTACAGAAACAATAGTAATAGGAACATGTGTCAAAACACTAGCAGTGGTCGAGGAAACAGTGATTAAATATTATGGCAAGGTACAGTATCTGAGAGTGAGGATGTCATCAATACAGTACTGTACTGTAAATGGAACAATAGGAGGATGAAATGAATCACAATATCTGAACAAAAGGTAATAGGTGTATTTTTGAAGGGTATAGGTTGAGCAAGTTGTGTCACGAGGGTAATATTGGTAATGTACACTCGCCACAAAAAGTTTTCGAATAGCTGAGCACAAAAGATTTCAGAATGAGTACTATGGCATGTGTCATCTCAAAATGGTTGTTAAGGTTAGGCCCTGATAAGAATCTACATTATCATAAAAAATTAAATGACTAAACAATGCTGTTAATAACACTAGCAAAATGCAGTCACTATGTAGCCTATTATTAGACTATTTATTAGATTGTGACTGTATAACCCAAAGCAATTTAACAACAAAATCTAAAACCGATGAATGATGAAATTTAGACACAATTTAACAATTGAAGAACAATTTATAGGAAAGTTCAATCTTTTATTTTTCCTCAAAAAAAAAGTCTAGTATTTCCTGCAACTCAACAAAAAAACCTCACCAATGATACAATAATTAATCTATATGATTTTCAATAAGATTCAGGGTGGTTTCGGCACTTCAGGTTATACCATGGATTTTGTTCAAATTTCATACAAAGGTACTAATTTACATGTTAATTAAGGATCTGGGTTCAGAAGATTAAAAATTCGAGTAATTAGTGTTAATTAATGACCTTTGGCATATTTAAAAAGTTGATTACATTGTGCCCTTAAGTTTCAATTCACCTATATATACATTTTCTTAAAATTATAGACTATCTTTACTATATAAACACATTAGTTTTCTTTGGAGTACAGTATAATTAGGGAGAAGAAAGCCTTGTTTTTTTCAATGGTGTTAAAACTTCATGTTCAGTATTATATCACTAGATATCTGTGCTTGTGGAGGATGCAGATCATCTCCAAGAGTTCATTTGTCAACATGGACTAGTTAGCAAGATGTGCAAGTACCTGTAGTAAAATGTGGCAGTGAAGCAACCAATTGTACTCATGTATAAAACAAAAAAATCATACAATGCCGCTTCAAAAAAGAAATTGCTTTCAAGCAGGGCTTTGAAGTAGAGGAAAATTGGGGTAAAACACTAAAAAGAACACCAAACAAACCTTTGAAAACCTTACCTAACCTTTCCCAACTTGTAAAAATAATGGTCAGATTCGTTTGAAACAACACAAAATACACTAGGAAAACCCACTTGTCGAAGTTGTTTCAGCGGTCCGACTAATTACCCAAATGTAGCCGCAATGAAGTCAAATAATGGTCCTACAAGAATAAATCGGGCTGTGAATCATTTCTCGATTATTATTTGGTGTCATAAAGTCACAAAAAATTGGTAAACTTAATTTAATCTGAGTTGTGTTAGGTTAGGTTAGGTTAGGTTAGGTTAGGTACATGCACTCGATCTATTAACTCAGATTAAAGTAATTTTCCAATTTTTTTTTTTTACTTTGTGACACCAAATACTAGTCGAGAAGTGATTGGCAGTCCGATTTATTCTTGTAGGACCATTATTTGACTTCAATATTTGACTTCAGCATTACCAAAACAACCACGTATAAGTAACTATAATCTAATAATCCAAACATCTACTGCAGTTAGCATCTAGGAGTGGAATACCATAGCACATTACCTTATTATGAACTGACCAGTACCCCATCCAAATAAACTGTACGTTAGCTTATTTATTAAACCATAAACCTATCCCCGTAGTAACATACAGTAGGTGACTCTTCAAGGGAGCCCGCCAAGAGTGACTCACTGCCTGGTCCTAAACCGTACACTTGGTCCACTGTAAAATGATTTTATAAATTTCTAGTTCACCGTGTAATGCTAGAATGTAACGTATACTTAATTTCACATTTTCTGGTATAAAAGAGCTTAAATTTCATGAAACTGTAAGGAAACAACAATAAAAAAAATAATGTACTAAATGGCAGGCGTGGGAGAGCGGTGTTTCCAAAGTGGTACTTTTCTTTTATTTTATCCTCTTCACCACTGATAGGCTCGTTAGCCGCTTGGGCGATCGGTAACGTCTCTGTCACGCACTGTTGGCCAGTACGAGTTATGTACCGGCTCTCTGTTACGCACTGTTGGCCAGTATTTGCCAACAGTGCGTAATTTATGTACATACTTTTTTAACGCTCATAGGAGCGTTATTGGTTTGTTGCTGGAGAAATAAACCCTCAACTTTGACGCGTATAATTCGGTCAAAACCTGTTAAAGAACAATTCTCATAAGAACATAAGAAAATAAGGAGTCTGCAATAGGCCGGTTGGCCTGTGCATGGCAGCTCCTGTCGAGAGTTACTACCACTCTCTATCATCCATGAATCTATCTAGCCTCCTTTTGAAACTTTCCAAAGTTCCCGCACTTACTACAAAGTTGCTAAGCTTGTTCCACTCGTCCACCACCCTATTTGTGAACCAGTTCCTTCCTATCTCCCTCCTAAACCTAAACTTATCCAACTTGAATCCGTTGCTCCGAGTCCTATCCTGCTCGGATATTATAAGAACTTTATCTATATCCTCTTTATTGATTCCTTTCACCCACTTAAATACTTCTATCATATCTCCCCGCACTCTTCGTCTTTCTAGGGAATGCAAGTTAAGTTTCTTTAACCTATCCTGATATGGAAGGTTTCTAAGTCCCGGAATCATTTTTGTCATTCTCCGCTGCACTGACTGTAGTGAATTTATATCCATTCTATAATAGGGGCACCAGAACTGAACCGCATAATCGAGGTGCGGCCTGACTAGCGCAAGATATAGTTGCAATAAGACCTCTGCACTCTTGTTACTTACACTTCTAGATATAAAACCCAATACTCTGTTTGCCTTATTTCGAACATTAACGTACTGTTTTCTAGGCCGTAGGTCCGGGCTTACAAGTACCCCTAGGTCTCTTTCACAAGTCGACTTCTCTAGGTTGATGTTGTTAAGGCTGTATACATTATAAGTATTTGTTCTTCCAATATTAAGTACGCTGCACTTGCTGGTGTTGAATTTCATTTGCCATTTTTCAGACCACCCCTGCAGTTTATTTAGATCCTCCTGTAATGCATTTGCATCCTGCCCTGAATTGATTTGCCGCCCAATTTTGGTGTCATCCGCAAACTTGCTTATGTCACTGCTGATCCCAGTATCAAAATCGTTTATGTGGATTATGAACAAGAGTGGGCCTAGTACTGACCCTGGGGAACCCCACTGGTTACACGGCCCCACTCAGATTTAACACCATCTACGCTGACCCTCTGCGTTCTATCGGTGAGCCATGATTTTATCCAATTTAAAACTTTCCCCTCGATACCATGAGCCTTAATTTTTCTCAGAAGCCTCTGGTGCGGTACTCTGTCAAATGCTTTGCTAAAGTCTAAGTAAATAACATCGTAATTTTCGTCATTATCTACTACCTCGAAGACTTTCCTAAAAAACGTTAGCATATTTGTTAGACAAGATTTTCCCTTTGTAAACCCATGTTGAGAGTAACGTTGTGTGAGTAGTGATGGCCCTATTGCAGGTTGAGAATACGAAATAGAATACATTCAATGGAATGTATCTATTTCAGTATTCAAGCAAGGGCGCTGCAGTAGTGTTTGTGACATTAGTTTGTGTAAGGAGTCCCTACATTGATTGTGGGGTCTCTGTGGTCGTGTGTGTGTGTGACATCACTCGTGTGTATTGCACGTTACGCGTTTGAGGGACGTCGCTGTGTGTTGATTTGATTTGATTTTGCCGCTACTTTATTGTGCACCCCACACTCATCCTGTGAGCGGTAGCGCAAAAGGATTATAGAGTAGGGTTTACAAAGGGTCATAATAATTAACCCCCGTTGTCAGAATATTATGGCACTGAATGTTACACAGTATTTCATTTACATTATTTGTTTAGTTCTATACATAAAGGGTAACTTATTCACAAATGCGTGAGTACAGGCATGTGAGGCAGTATGCCTGGCCGCACACTTTGTTATTCACATTTGCGTGAGAGGTATTCAAGCACATTGCGTATTTGGTTCTGTACATGAGAATTGATATAGTTACTGTTACGAGTTGGGGATTTAGAATATAGTTAAAAGTCTACCCAGATCCCAACAGGCAACAAAAAAAAAAACAAAGACAATCGGACTATAAAAGGGTAGACAAAGGATTCGAGTTTTTGTTGTGTATAATAAAGTACCATAAATTCCTTAACAAAATATTCAGCTTTCTATAATTTACCCTTAACCATACTTAACCTAAACATTAACAGTATATACATATTTATACAACATACAATAATTTGAAGCAAGGTGGACGTGGGGAGGCAATATACTTTTACTTTTACTTTTATCCTCTTCGCCACTGATCGGCTTGTTAGCCGCTTGGGCGATCGGTCACGACTCTTTTCCTTTATATTCTTCACCAAAAGGTCGGCTCGCTAGCCGCCCGGGCGATCGGTCACGTCTCTGTCACGCACTGTTGGCAAATACTGGGCATGCACCGGCTCCTGAATGTACCTGAACCCGCTCCAGTGTTGGTCAAGTCTTCTCTTGAAAGAGCTCACACTCGGTGCCGTCACAACACTTTCTGGTAGATTGTTCCAAGAGTTTACAACCCTCACTCCGAAAAAGTTTGCCCTCACGGTTTTCCGGACTTGCGGCTTCTTCAATCTTGAGCTGTGACCCCTTGTGGGGCGAGCGTCCGCCAGCTCCAAGTAAGGACACTCAACTGAGTAGTGCCCCCTGAGATGCTTATAAACCTCAACTAGGTCCCCCCTTGCCCGTCTGTAGTATAAGCTAGGCAAGTTCAGGCGCTCCAATCTCGCAGGGTAGCTGAGATGCCGAAGTGCAGGCACCAGCTTGGTGGCCCTCCTTTGAACATTTTCAACCAACTGACAGTCCCTAGCATATCTCGGGGACCAGATGGGGTGACAGTACTCCAGATGGGGAAGCACTTCACTCCTGAAGATCGTCACGAGGGACGGACCGTCTAGATATCTGAACGACCTTCTTATAAGACCCAATAATTTATTTGCCTGATTTACCTTCTTCTCACAATGGCCCGAGAACTTCAGCTCATTGTCAACATACACACCTAGGTCCTTCTCACACACAGTCTCAACTAGTACATTTTCTTCATCCCGTTGGGACATATGGTACGCCTCCTTACCGTTGGTACGCCCCAGGTGCATCCTCTTACACTTCGTGACATTGAATCTCAGCAGCCATTCCTTCGACCATTCCTGGAGCCCACAGAGGTCCTTCTGCAGCTCTTCACAGTCCGCTTGGTTCTTAATTTCCCGAAATAACTTGGCGTCATCGGCAAACATTTGTATGGAGGAGTGTACAACGTCAGGCATATCATTTATGAAACAAACAAACAACAGCGGGCCCAATACACTACCCTGCGGTACCCCACTTGTTACAGGTACAGATGACGATTTCGTGCCATTAATCACCACACATTGCTTGCGGTCATGTAGAAAGTCTTCTATCCACGCTAGGACATTTCCCCGAATTCCGTACCCTTCCAGTTTGATTTTCAGCCTTTCGTGGGGTACACTGTCGAAAGCCTTGGCAAAATCTAGGTAAATATTGTCGATATTACCACCCCGTTCTAGAATATGGGTCCAAATATCCAATACCTTGAGCAATTGTGTCAAGCAAGAGCGCCCCGGCATAAAACCGTGTTGGCAATCTTTTACAAGGTTGTTTCGTAGTAGATGTTCCATCGCTGCATCTCTGATAATACTCTCAAGTACTTTACATATTATGCTGGTCAGGCTCACCGGTCTATAGTTGTTCGTGGAGTGCCTATCGCCCTTCTTGAAGATAGGACTCACATAAGCCACTTTCCATTCACTGGGGACCATTTGTTCATCCAGGCATTTACAAAACAGAATCTTCAGGGGCTCTGCAAGCTCGTTGCACAGCTCCCTTAGCACTCTAGGATGCACCATGTCAGGTCCAGGACTCTTATGGACCTTTAGCCTGGACAGTTTATTTCTAATACCCTCTTCTGTGAACACAATGTGGGTCAGTGCTGTGTCGAACCGTCTGTCCTCAAACGCAGGAAGGTTAGTTGCATCCTCTCTTGTGAACACTGAGGAAAAGAAGCTGTTCAATGCCTCAGCTTTATCCTGGTCAGAATCTGCGTAACTACCATCTTCAAGCCTCAGGTCTGATACTCCTACTCGCGTTTTCAATTTCGACTTTGCATAGCGGTAAAACGCCTTTGGGTTTGACTTGACCTCGCGTGCAACCAGCCTTTGGAACTCCTTTTCAGCCCTCCTACACTCTATCTTTGCTTGGTTTCTGGCTCTTGCATACATCCTCCTGTCTTGCTCATCGTTTGACCCAACCCACGTCTTGAATTTCTGGGTTTTCTTCTTAATTTTGTCGACCGCCGCATGGTTCATGTGTAGGGATCCCCTCGTATTCCTAGAAGCACTGGGTTTGGTCTTGGGTATATATTTATCGATCAAATGGGTCATTTTACTAGTTATGATATTCAGCGTAGTGTCTGCGTTCTTGTACCTTAATAAGTCAGGCCAGTTGATACCCCTCATCTCTTCCCTCATCCCATTGTAATTTCCCTTGTAATATTTGCACCTTGGCCTGGCCTTATCTTGAACTAGGTAACAGTTAAATCTGAATGACAACACTGTATGGTGACTGGTGCCAACTGGGGCAAGGTGTTCCAGTTTGGCCACCATACCCTCCTCGTTTGTTATGATGAGGTCAAGTGGCTTGGGTGTTTGTTCCCCTCTGTAATGTGTCGGGTCTCTCACATGTTGGAACAGAAAATTATCTCTCAGAGTTTCTACAAAAAGAGTAGCAGGATTATTCAAGTCATTCGGGGTTGACTCGTTTCTCCAGTCGATGTCGCCATAGTTAAAGTCCCCCATGATAAGGAGGTGGCTGGGGTTGAGCATCGCCGCATTG